CCCCTCACTACCTTTGAAACCCCCCTGCAGATTTCACTCACCAGATTACCCCAAAGAGCCACCAATTCTGTGGCAGTCTACCAAGCCCAAATGATGTGGATACTCCAGGATGAAATACCAAATAATGTGGGCATTTTTATTGATGATGAAGGAATTAAAGGCCCTGTGTCAGACTATAATCAAGAAACATTGGAAGAAAATTCAGGAATCAGAAGATTTATTTGGGAATATGCCATTACTCTGGAAAGGATCTTATTCAGAATAGAAGAAGCTGGACTCACCATCTCTGGAAAGAAATTTGCATGTTGTGTACCTGCCTTGGACCTTGTAGGACATGTGGTATTCAAAGAAGGAAGAAAAATTGCCCAGAAACAACTCAACAAGGTGGAAAGCTGGACACTCCCTGACAACCCCACAGATGTCAGAGGATTTCTTGGAGTCTGTGTTTATGTCAGAATGTTTATCCCTGGGCTTTCAGAACTTGCTTCACCCCTCAGAAGGCTCACTTGGAAGGACTCAGAATGGAAATGGAACCAGGCTTGCCAGGATGCATTTGAAAAACTAAAGAAACTGGTGGGCTATGATATTACTCTAAAAAAATTGGACTGTTCTGAAGAAACAGGAGCAATAAAATTAGCTGTGGATTCAAGTCATATAGCAGCTGGAGCAGTACTCACACAAGAAGATGAAGGCCTGGACAGACCTGTCCTTTATGAATCAGTAGTATTTTCCCCAACAGAATCCAAATATTCCCAGTCCAAATTGGAACTTTGTGGAGTCACCAAGGTCCTCAAGAAACTACAAACTCAATTATGGGGCCAACATTTTGAATTATTAGTAGATGCCAAAAGTCTAATAGAAATGATCAACTCACCCAGCCTTCCAAATGCTCCCATGACCAGATGGGTAGCCTTTATCCAACTATTTTCTTTTACCATGAAGCATGTCCCTGGAAAAACTTTCACAATGCCAGATGGACTATCCAGAAGAACCCCTGACCCTGGAGAAATTGGAACAGATTTTGATGAAGAAGAAAAATGGATCAAACCTCACCCTGGCTTTGGACTAAAAGAGGTCAACATGGCAAATTTGGGGGGTGGAACCCACTCACAGCAACCAAATTGGAGTCTGGAAACACCTTCAATATTACTTGGAAACCCTCAACAGGCCCCCTGAATGTTCAGACAAGGATTGGAGTATTATGAAACATAAGTCAGCAATGTTTTTTATGTCAGAAGGCCACTTAAAAAGAAGAAACAAACCCTTTCCCCAGGTTGTGGTAACCTCTCAAGACCTCCAGAAAACAGTTCACAGAGACCCTCCATGAAGAGTTGGGCCACAGAGGCATGGAT